AACGAATGCCTTTCGGCATCTAATGTAGCAATAACACATGGAGATGGGGTAATAAATTGAAGTTGTGTCATTAGCTAAATGTATTATTTTAAATAATCTGAATGTTGTCTTTTGTATATCTACCTTTAATAAATCTGGTTTGGTCTGCGTGAATTAGTGTGGGGATAACAGTCTCTAGCCACATGGCTAAGGCTTTACTAATTATTTTTAGATCTGTATTTATAAGAGATAATTGATTTAGCACACTGCAATTGGTGTTTGTTTGGTTTTAAGATTGGAGTGATTAGTGCTGTATTCATATGTTTCGGAATTGAATCTGTATGTAAAATATCAGTGATCATTCTTATATACAGGGTTGATATCATATCCCAGTTTATAATATTCAGTTGTGTAGCCATCTGATCCTGCAGATTTATTATTAGGTATGTGATCTAATAGTTTGTTTGCACATGACGTCATTGCTGTGGCGTGAAATGCAGGAAGTGATTTTTCTATATAGGAATCGCTAGCAGAAACTCAAAATGCCTATGTTTTACGTTGTTTATGGATGCTCAAATCTATCAAATCGAGAAACCACAATGAGCTTTTATCGTGTACAAAAATTTGTTGTTCATAAGGGGGGAAAAGGCAAGAAATTGACTGAAAAACACAGGAAAAAGTGGCTTGTAAACCTGCGTCTGTGGTCGGGAGGAGCCGAGTCACAGTTTGGGTAATGCTCGTGTGTGCAAATGGTTAATATAAGATATAATATATTAAGATATGAATAAAGAAATATATAAATACAGTAGGTACAGGGCTGCCAACTCATGCATTCAGCATGAGACAGTCAGAATTCACTCAATGCTAAATGCCACACGTAGACATGATGTAAATAAGATATTATATGTGCAGTTTAGAGAGCTGCATTAATTAAAATGGAATATTGTGAGACTGCAAGAAATTGAAGTGAGTGACAGCTTTTTAGTGATTATATGGAAGCCCTATTTGCTCGCTTTATTGGCTATAATCAATTCAGAATTTGAATAAAAGTTTTGTTTCACGTGCTGCAAAACAGGACCAATGGCCACATACCCTGTACATGCAGCAAAGTTTCAGACTTGACATATATCCTGCATCCCTCATATAAATGCGGGATTCACTTTTGAAATAGCTTGTTTGCAATCAGGGTTATTTTTTCGGCGATCTGCTTGCTTGAGTTTATATGTGCCGGACGGCTCGAGCCCAATTTAAACCTTGTATATATATATATACATATATAAAAATTCTAACTTAATTCAAATTTTTACCTTCAGATGTAACGTTACGGCTTGGTCTTCTCCACAGCCTAAACATGCGTACTCTCCTGAGAGCGAACGAAATTAATAAGATAAAGATCAAAGTTAAAATGAAAACTATAATGATAATTTTAAAAACTCACATTGAGACCTACAAATACTTCTAATAATAAAATGTTATTGAAAAGAACTGTTTACCGTTTGTCAGCGACGGATCCATCAACGACCTTGTCCAAACATCTTCTCAGGTGACGTAACAGGGTTGACCAATGAATTCGCGTAGGGGGCGTGGTTTGCGCCCAACTGGTTTGAAACATGAGACCAGGCTATCCATTCTGTTTTTACTTCCTGCCCTCCATCTGAATTCCGCACGTCAGAATCACGTGATTGCAAACAAGCTATGCTGTCTTAAATTCTTTCATTGTTAATGATTGTTCCAAGATGACTGTTTGGATTTTACACTTATGAGAAAGTGAAATATTCTTCAGAAAAATGTCTGCTTCTTTTATCATTGATGTATTTGTTGAAGAGTATAATCTAGAATAGAAGGATTTAAATGTCTTGTTTATTAAATATGGATCTTGTGTTGTAGTATCTGTATTATCTTGGATAGCTGAAAACGTAGAAAAATCTAGTATTACTAGAGATACAAACAGATTTGATGGCAATTTCCCTGTTTTATCTCCAAATTCATAGTGCTTTTGTTGCAGCTGTAAAACAGAGTATTCTATTATTTTATTAATCATATTATTAAGTTCTTGTCTAGTTTTTATAAGATCTTTTGAAATTTTGTCAGAAAATGTACTAGCTAGTAACCTCTCTAATCTTTTTATCTCATATCTAAGCTCTTGTTCTTTTCTCATTTCTTCTTTCTTTTTTTCTTGAGTAGCAAAATGCTATTATTTTGTCTCTAATTACCTACCACCTTAGCAGTTTCCCATAGTGTAGAAGGAGAAATGTCTGCGGTTGTCATTGGTCTTCATAAAGGAGAAAATGGTAGAATTGACAAGACAGTTGACCCTGAGAGGTCAGCTAAATATCTACAGCGGATCTAAAATATGAATAGTTAATTATAACTAGTTATGGTTAATTATTCATATTTCCTGTCATGAGCTGATTCGCTACAAATGTATCAATTCCGGTGTACAGCATTTATTATGAGGGGGTAGAATCCACAGCTCAGTACTCACTACTCAATACTCATGAGTACTTTTAAATAGGCTACTCTTTTACTCTTACTCAAGTAGTTTTTTGGACAAGTACTTTTACTCTACTCACACTACATTTTTTGGAAGGTAATGGTACTTTTACTTGAGTATATTTTTTCAGTACTCTTTCCACCACTGCTTATGTGGTGAAAAAATAAAGATAAAGTTATTTATGAGGAGCATTTCTATTCTTGAATATGATATATGAAGTGACGAGTAATATGCAAATTCTTTACTATCAGAATTATGAAATCTCCAAATATCTTTCAGTCCATGTTCTTCCATGTATTTAGAAATAGTGACTGCAGACTTGGTTGTTTTGTATTTATTTATTGGATTAGAAAGATTGTGGATTAAGTACTGTGTTAAAGTCACCCCCTAGAATGATAGGGGCATTGGGGAAGTTACTTAGTTCTGCGAACACAGAATGGACAAAGGATGGAGTATCTGTATTAGGTCCATAAATATTTGCTATAGTAATGACATCTTTCCTGAAACAACCGCTGACAATTATATATTGTTCATCTGTGTCTGTAATAGTTGCTTTATTTAGTAAATTAAATTTCTTTCCTAATTAGAATTGACACCCCTCGTGTTTTAGAGCTGTAAGTAGCATGAAAGTGGTGACTAATACAACCAGCTAATTGTTTTCTTGTTTACTCGGGAGCTAAATCCTCTAATGTTCCATGACAGTATTCTAATGGGTTGGGACATTCAAATGATAATGTTGTTGTTGTTCAAATTGTTTATTAAGTTTTGGAAGCTGCTCAAAATGTTTGATATACTGCATATTTGTATAAGTACATGTTTGACGACACATTTTTTATAATCAAAAAATGTATGACTTGCCTATTGTGTAAAAACACAATAAAAAACGTTTTCTATGTAGACAAACAGATAGAAAACAATTCAGGAACATAAAGAATAAAGATTGTCATATTTGTCAGAAAGAAACAAGCAAACAAACAAAAAAGACTACAATAATGAGGGAGAGAGGTAGAGCTATATGTTGCATAAAGATTTCTATGAATAGTAACAGTATAAGGAGCATAAAGATAATAAAGCAATAGTAAACTTTTATGTCGGAGAGGAGAAAGGAAGGAGGAGAGAGAGGAGAAGAGAAAGAAAAATGTAAGCAGTCTTCCATTATGTCTACATTTAGATGGTTATATTTTAAAGATGGGGCCCTTTAATAATAATAAAAATACACCATACGTCATCAAATACTATGATAAGAGTCCCATCTACATCAACAAGGAAATATGTGATGCAGATATAGTAAAAGCATATAAGTAATTTCCAAGTTCTTTCTTTATGATATCAGTAGTTAAAGATAAAAGACTTGAGTTGTGTTTAAAATATTCACGAGTTCACTTGTTGAGTCAAGTCAGGTCTGAAATCTTTTCAGGCCAGGTCTGGAGTGGAGTCTGAAGTCTATTAAAATGCGACTCTGAGTCACTAACTCTCTGGCTGGGGTGCTCTAAGACTGGTTTGAAAAAACACTGAATAACACAATTTCCACTTCAGTTTTAGACACACACTCACAAACATCCTTAAGCACTTCTCCGCTGCTATTATGAAGTGTGTTCCACTTTGTGAAGTGGACGAATGAAGTTTATAATTACAGAGCCTTGACGAATGTGACATCACCGCAGATTGTTTAATTTACCTACACCCCAAACAACTAAAAGATATAAAGATAGATTCATTATTTTTTAAATGTTTAAAACAGCTAAAACATACTTATATACATACAAAATGCTGCATCAAACAAAAATGGAAGGAATCAAAATTTAAATAATAAATTAACTCCATAGTGGAAGTGATCAAGGGCTCAGGACAATCCATTACAGTATTTTACTTGGCAATATTTTTTTAAATATCTTTATTTTGGAATTACGTATGGTCTGATGGTGGAGTAGCATCACCCATGCGGGATATTTTTTTAACCCCACCAGCAATGAAAAATAATTCAGTTCAGGGATATGTAGCAGGCATATGTAGAATCAAGAGTGGGAAGTTCCTGTCCTCATGCTTGGATGAATAGCTTGTGAAGCTTTTAGCAGTGGAAATTTATTTAGTGCTTTAGTAATTAGTTTATACTGTGTCAACTCTGCAAACAAGTGTATAACCAAAACTAAGTTGCTCTAATTCAGAATTTAACCTCATATTTTGCCGTTCTTAGAATTGACAAGACGGTTGACCCTGAGTGGTCAGCTAAATATCTACAGTGGATCTAAAATATTAATAATTAATCATAATTAGTTATGGTTAATTATTCATATTTCCCCATGAGCTAATCCGCTACAATGCCTAACTTACGTCTTCAACCTAATTATAATTAACCACATCATTTAAAAAAAAAATTAATATCTTGTGAAGCAATGTATGGTAACTAAAGTTAGCGTAGTGCTACATAATAATTGTTGGTGAGTGTATTTTATAATGAGTGATGTCTAATGTCAAATTGAGTCTAATTTATTTATTTTCTTTGTCTTTTTTCTCCCGTCTTCCTCAGGTATAACATGTTTATTGTCATGTATCCCTTGGGAGTAATTGGAGAACTGCTGACCATACATGCCGCCTTACCATATGTGCGGAGATCTGGCATGTACTCCCTGAGGCTCCCCAACAAATACAATGTGTCCTTTGACTATTACTACTTCTTGATCATCGTCATGCTGTCCTACATCCCGTGTAAGAACTCAACTCACAATAAAATGTTTACTTGCATGCTACTGTTTTCTCATTGGGGTTGTCACGTTTCTACCATAAGACCAGTCAAATTAGTCTTTATCATTGCATAGCTTGCTACTATTGGAAGGAATAAATTGACCATGACTGACTACTAATAGAGTGGTACTAGTATAAAATGCACATACTGACATCTAAAACGGTCTTATCTAGTTAGTTATTAGAAAGATACATTTTTAAAAATAAACATAACTGCTTTAAAATGTGAATTTTCTGTATGGGTGTGTGCAGTTTACGTTGTGGAACAAAACATCAAAGTATAGTCAAGTTATGTTTACCACAGGCTTAATTTGAAAAATCCATTATAAAACCCCACAGGAAAATCTTGAAGGAATCAGTGCCAAGTTAGTCTTCCAGGTTCTGATGTCATACCTGCACCACTCTATAGCTCATGTCTACAGTGGCATTGGGAACTATTGCTTTTGCATTAAGCTATATTCTGTCACCTAGTGGCATGAATAAGTCCAAGATGACAGTGATTAAAGCAAAGATAGATAGATAGATAGATAGATAGACAGATAGATAGATAGATAGATAGATAGATAGATAGATAGATAGATAGATAGATAGATAGATAGATAGATAGATAGATAGATAGATAGATAGATAGATAAACTCAATTTATTTTTGTAGGGATAAAAATCTACCTCAGCTTATGCTCTAAACTATAGGGAGCCCTTTTACATTACCATAAGGTTAACAATTAATTACATTACCATAAGGTTACAATTAATAACAATTAAATTATTTTTTATTTTTAATATAATAATAATCAACACTCAACTTAAAAAAATGTATGCAAACATGTAAATTGTACATTGTGTAGTTTTTAACTTAAATTATAAATTATAAAATTTCTGTTTGTTGTTGAAATTTACACAGTGCTGTCATAACTTGTTTCATAACAGATTTATTTTAAAATGCATTAAATAAGACATCACTAACAGGTAAAGTAAAATATATTGAGTATATAGTCTAATATTTCTTGAAATGCTCTACACTGGACTTCATTTATAGCTAACTAACAAGCTGTGAACACTGATGACTTGCCTAAAGTAAATGAAATGCTATGTGACATGTTGTTTATTGACGTCTTTCTGTGGTTAAAACTCTGATTGAGCAATTTCATGAGGCGTGAGATGTTCAATTGTTTATTTTGCATTAAAACAAGTAGTAAGGAGGAAGGGATGATTACTTTCACTCACGCTCTGCGCTGCCGTTTGAACTGACAGCGATCTATCACGTCACATCAAAGACTGTCAAAACAGCATTTCTATTCTTTGAGTTTCCTGAAAAAAAAATTATGAGACTTTGTTTCTTATCAAAAGGAACAATATATATAACTGGAAGTTTCCAGTGAAGTTCCACTCATGCAGTGGATAAAACAATAGGTTACTGTTCATAACCCAGGTTCTCTGAAACATAGAGTGGCTTGAGTGCCCAATGGCAGGTAAGCGACCGCCCCTTAACCGAAAGCATAAAGCCCTTGCACACACTACCTTTCCTTAGTGAGCATATTCACTTCTCATGCAGCAAGCGGGGCAAACTTGGTGGTTCTCTCCACTCAATGTTTCAGAGAACCGGGGCTACAAACAGTAACCTATTGTTCTCTTTCATCATCTCGTGTTTGAGATCCACCTATGGGAGTAATGGACAACTCCCCGGTTGCCCAATACACTCACAGTGCAGCCCTGTTAGTCAGAGGATGGTCACCTGAAAAGGCAGTGCTTGACACGTCACCAAGTATCAGACCCCCCACAAAGTGAGAATGCAATACCAGACATAAAAAGAAATTACATATGGCAACATGCATTCAAAACCTGACATACACCTCATGCGGTGATTCATGTACGCTATATGGGGGTTATTTCATGTATGTTATATTTGCAGCAGCAATATTTCTTACATGCTCACAACAGCATGTTGTGGATGTATTGGCAGTAGCAAGTCTCTGTACTTGCTCTGCCGCAGCAGCAGCAGCAGCCTAGCAGATCTATTCCGCCAAGACCAAATACATTAGCATTGTCATGTACATTACCATGCCAATCCCTCCGAGAGTTGTCATGACAGGAATAGAACAGAATGAGCTACCGGGGTCTAGTTAACATCAAGCTGGTATTATCTGACAAATGTATGTGGTGAGGCCCAGTCCTGCAAAAGTCCTGCAAGGAAACCCCTTTAAATAGAGCCCAGGAGACCACCATGCCCCTAGTAGAATGTGCTCCGAGGGCCCCTGGAGGCAGCACTCCCTTAGATTCATATGCCAAAGAGATGGCATCCATTAGCCAATGAGAGAGGTGTTGCTTAGAAATGAGATTCCCCTTGTTCGGGAGGCCCCAGGAATGAATCTGATCACTCCTCCTGAAAGGCTGGTCCTGTCGATGTAAACCCGCAGGGCACGACCAGGACATAAAGCATTTAGCATCCGTTCCTCTGCAGAGGAGTTCTAGTTCTAGTTCTTTTATTTATAAAGCACATTTAAAACAATCACAAGACTGACTAAAGTGCTGTACAACATAATGATGAAATATAAAAATACATTCACACAACATAAATTTGCAAAGGCTACAGAAAACAAGTGAGTTTTCAAAAGAGATTTAAAAAAATTATAAAGATGGAGCAGCTCTAAGGGGTGCTGGCTGGCTGTTCCACAATTAATGGCCCATCACCGAGAAAGCTCTATCTCCTCTGCGTTTCAGCCTTGTGGTGTGAACCATAAGTAGGTTTTGATTACCAGATCTTAAATCTCTGGTAGGACTGTAAGGATGCAGCAATTCTGATAGGTAACGCGGGGCAAGATTGTGTAAACATTTATAAACAAATAAAATAATTTTGAAATGTATCCTAAAATTAACAGGAAGTCAATGAAGAGCTTGCAGAAAGGGGGTGGCAGGATCAAATTTGCAGCCTTTTTTAAGAAATTTGGCTGCTGCGTTTTGGACCAATTGAAACGAGCTACTTGGGACTTTGAGATGCCACAATACAAAAAGTTGCAATAGTCCAATCGAGAGGTAATAAATGCATGAACAGCTGTCTCAAAAGGTTTTTCAGGCAGACAATGTTTGATTTTAGAAAGTAAGCGGAGCTAAAAAAGAGCTAGAGGTAACAACCGAGGAGATGTGTATTTCTAGAGTGAGCTGACTGTCTAAGAAAACACCAAGGTTCCTAACACACTTTCATTCAAAAACTTCCAGGCTATCCAAGATTGAGTTGTTAAATTTGAAATTGTCAGATGGGCCAAAGACAATGACCTCAGTCTTTGAGTCATTTAAGGTTAAAATGTTACTAGTCAACCAATGCTTTACCTCATCAAGACATGTAAATAGGGAATCAATGGCTAAAGGATCATTTATTTTAATTGGCAGATAGATCTGGGTATCATTGGCATAGAAATGGAAAGATACACCACACCTTCTCAGAATCGAACCTAAAGGAAGCATGTAGAGGGAGAAAAGCAGAGGTACTAAGGTAGATCCATGGGGAAGTTCAAAATTGAGATGGGCAGCAGAGGAGGTAAAGTTGCCAATTTTGACTGAAAAATATCGATCCGTTAAATAAGATTTAAACCAATTCAAGACTGAGCCTTTTAGCCCCACACAAGATTCTAATCTAGACAGGAGTAACTGATGATCTGTAGTGTGTCAAAGGCAGCAGTCAGGTCTAAGAGAATTAAAATCACGCAACTAAGATATCGTTTAACACTCTCAGCAGAGCTGACTCAGTGCTATGGAAAGGCTTGAAACCAGACTGAAAGATTTCTGAGATGTGATTTGTACTTAGAAAAATTTTTAGCTGACACAACACAATCTTTTCCAGTGCCTTAGAGATAAAAGGGACCACAGAAATTGGACGGTAGTTGTTCAAAACAGACAAGTCTAAGGAAGGCTTCTTGAGCAAAGGAGTAACAGAGGCCAATTTCAAGCATGCAGGAACCAAACCAATTGATAAGCATTTGTTCAGTAGGGAAAGTAAAGTGGGGCCAACAGACTCAATTAACAATTTAAAATACTGAGGGTGTATTGCATTGTGAGGACAGAACGAAGTTTTGAGGCAGATAATAGTTTCAGGGAGGAATTGCAAAGAAATTGGATCAAAGGTCTCCCATACAGTTGATGACTGGGAAACCTCAACAAAAACAGGATCATTATAAGTGGTTACTGTCACGGGTTGCCTACTGTGGTGGAGACAAGGAGACAAAGGAGCATGGAGACGAAGAGGATTAACAGGAAACAGTCTTTATTTCTCCAAATAAAGAACACACAGACAGGAACTCACACGTAGGACGAGGGGTTGACATTCAATTCCAGACAAGGGAGAACAGAACAGGCTCGAATAGGTCGGATCTAGGAGTTCAGGGGGCCATGGTGGAGCAGGCAGTTCAGGTTGCCATGGCGGATCAGGGAGCTCAGGGGACCATGGCGGATCAGGCAGTTCAGGTTGCCATGGCGGATCAGGGGACTGAGGAGGCCATGGCGGATCCTCCGTGGCCTTAGCTGGCTCGGCCACATGTATATGGGGGCGCTCTGGAGGAACGGGCACTTGAGGGCCCTCTGGAGGGGATTCAGGGACAGGAGCCCTCCTTGGGCTAAGCACGGGGACAGGAGCCCTCCGTGGGCTATACTCGGGAGCTGAAGCCCTCCGTGGACTATACTAGGGAACTGGAGCCCTCCGTGGGCTATACTCGGGAACTGGAGCCCTCCGTAGGCTATACTCGGGAACTGGAGCCCTCCCTGGGCTAAACGAGGAATCAGGAGCCCTCCCTGGGCTTAACAAGGAATCAGGAGCCCTCCCTGGGCTTAACGAGGAATCAGGAGCCCTCCCTGGGCTTAACTGGGGATCAGGAGCCCTCCCTGGGCTTAACTGGGGATCAGGAGCCCTCCCTGGGCTAAACGAGGAATCAGGAGCCCTCCCTAGGCTAAACGAGGAATCAGGAGCCCTCCCTG